TTTCCCTTCTCATCGATTTTCCCACAATTTTCCAAATTTATTTTCTTTTCTTCACTTCACTGTTCTACTAAACATATTCATACGCACAGAGTTGCATTTTCCAACGCCGATCTAAAAGAATCGACTCAGCAAAAATCAACACAAACTTGGCACTACCTTTTTTTCACAAATCAGGAGACCTGCATATCCGGCTCATTTTCAGTTTGGCGTTCGATCATTGCCGGTTAAAACTAATGCCGGCTTGTTTATTTTATTGCGCCATGGCATTTATTTATTGTGAACACCACCGCAACAAAACTTCGAAATTGGCAAGTGTATCGCAGAAAATTTCGATGTGCGGGGTTTCTGTTCTTGCCAGTCTATTTTCTTTTACCTACATAAAAATGGAACTATGAAAAATCTTCGTTTTTCTGTGAAAATTCATGTGTGGACCTGAGGTAAGTTGATAAGAAAAAATATTTCTCCATGACACATTTTTTTTACCGCCAATCTTCTTATGCAGGAATTAATCAGATTACCCTCGGGACGCATATTCAATGTTTTTGGTGTCTCATTGACTTGGAGGTGTCTCAATTACCATGTGGTGTCTCAGCTATCACCGTTAATGCAGGTATACATGTATGTGTACCCACGCTTCATTCAATGAAGCGCTGTCGGCGCCACATAATCTGCATCATCTTGTGTGTGTGAGTGCCCATTTGTCTTCTTCTCATTCACACACATACTTGCTTGCATTACTCTACTCCAATTAGAGTTTCGTTAACGCAGCATGTGTGCATTCACCGCATGCATACCATTCAACCTACGGATGATGGTCGTCTCATTCACACACATACCTGCTTACATTACTCTACTCCCATTAGAGTTTCGTAAACGCAACATGTATGTATTCAATGAATGAACGATTTTTGGAGAACGCATTTGACTGAGGTTATGGTAAGTGACTGTTGTTATTTCCATACGAATATTTCGTTTGTTAATATTTTTGTTTTCTTTTCAGAATGGATTTCATCTACTATCAACGCATTATTTGAATCGATTGGGACATTGGAAAACAAGTGACCACACAAGCATACTGCTCATCACGGTATACCATAGGGGAACTTGTTACACCTAAACGTGCAATGAATTCTCTTAGCACACAGGTATTTTCCGTTCGAGGTCATATTGGACGCAAACACGTCATTTATGGTTCTTGTTACTTTGTGCCCAAATTATCTGCACAGCTTGGACCGATAACTCTATGAGTGGACGTACAGATAAAATCTTAAACTATGGTTGATTTTATTACTATTTCTAATTGTTTGTTTTTAATTTTTTTAGGTACCCCAACGATATGCCACGAACCTTTCAACATAGATCCCATCTCCTGATGCAGATATTTATGATCGCTTTATAAGGGTATAATTTTGGATTTCCCAGGTGGATGCAATATACCATTTAATTTTGTTATGGAGGAATACAAATTTATATATCCTTTTTGCTTGATATTTGGGATAGGTGAGTGTTTATTTGCTTCATGCTTAACCACATTATTAGCTCCATATTAAAATATTTAAGGGTTTAAATGATCATTACCCAATAGGTATATACCTGAATGTTTGTTTATATAGTTGGAATTAAATTGTTCGACAAGCATATTTTATGGGAGGTGAATTCTTTTATTTACCTGCCATCACACAAAAAATGATGGTAATAGTTGTGTGTACATTTTAGAGAAAATTATGTTTACCACTATATGTACGCAATCGTAATCGCTGAAGAATTTTTTTACTGCCCATTTATTAATGTTATTTTGCTTCTTTTTATATAGGTATTTTTTTGTTTGGTAACAGCAGTCTATGGACAGTTAACGGCGTCACCCCCTTGGAGTAGGGGGTGACGCCGTTAACTGTCCATAGAAAAACAGCGCAATATTTTTATACCTGAGGATTGTCAACTATTTCTCATTCTTGAAACACATCATGGAAAAAGTTTTACCAACCCAAATAGGTAAGTGTTTATTTCGTTTTTGTCACCAGTGGTCAATATGAGGTTAAGTGTGTGAAGTATATCAAGAAGGTTGTTTTTGGTATTGCGACTTCGGAGCTGTGTCTTTGCTGTGCGGGCATTTGTGCGTGGATATTTTTTTATCGCATGCGATAAAAACACATTGTGGTTCTTTCTTATATAATAAAATCCATGCGGTTTTATAAAAATTAAATTTTTTTATGAAAGGTTTACATCCACACGAAAAAAAATGAAATCAATGTCAGATCATATTGGGCAATGGATTAGTATTTGATATGGTCGCTTTACGGTTTATAGCATGCTACAATAATAATAATGTGTGGATGAACATATTGGTGTTTGAAAGTGAAGATCATTTGACAAATTGAAGAGGGAACCAATAACCTTCGTACATTATTGCCTAAAATTTAATACCTATGATTAATGCACTTCCTGAAAAGTATCTAAACATGGGATTTCCTCAGAATTTATTCATTGGTGACTTGATATGGCAATTTAATATTATTTTGACTACCTTGGTATAGTTCACATTGCCAACCTGTGCATGCTCTAACCTCAAATATTGATCTTTTTATTTGATTATAATGTATATTGCATTTATACCTTAATTCGTTCATTATATATTATTTATTGCTTTTTTTGTAATTTATTGTATCTGCTTTTTGACATTGGGGGAATAGATGTTTTGTATTTGAGAGATTATTAGCAGAAATTTACAGGTGTTTTTTTTTTTTTACATGCTAATATTTCGTTCCCTCATTTTGTTTTGTTATTTATTAAAAACTTTTGTTACGTTTCATTCTTCAGTCCCAACGTGGGGAACTCCCACACCCTGAGATATTTTTCTCAGCCGGGCTATATTTCGCTTGGTAACTTATTAGGGTGTTTTATATTTGTGAATAATTATCTTATAAAAAAAAAACAAATACAACATAGATTAAAAAATGTACATGAATGACAAACATTTATAAATCTATATTGCACTTATTTAACTTTATCACAGATATTATTGCACATTATTCAAGCCTTTATATCTTTAGTGTGGAAATGGCCAAGAGGTCTCCCCTGAAGAGTTTCTAGTTCATATATATTATTTCCCACCGGCCTAACTATTCGGCACTTTAAGAATTTTTTGCAAAATTTAGAGTTTATGTTACTCTTAAAATTTGACAAGACATGATTCCTACGGTACACTTCTTGTCCCGGTCGGAAAGTGATATTTCGTGATCTGTTATTGTAGCGTTTAGCACTGGATTGGTATGCTTCGTGCAATTTATTTTTAACCCTTTCCCTTATCAATTCTAGCTTATCTGTGGTATTTAATTGGTTTATCTGATGATCAGTAAGAGATTTAAGTTTCTTTGCTAAATTATAATCGGTTCCACTCGTGAACATATTGTACCCGAATAATGCGAAAAACGGATTGACACCTGTGGCAGTGTGCACCGATGTTCGGAGTGCTTGTTCAACTTCAGACAGGTACAAATCCCAGTCGCGGTGATCATTATCGACGTACGTCCTTATCGCTGCCAGTACAGACTGGTTGACTCGCTCTGACGCGTTCGACTGCGGGGAGTAGTAAGCTGTTTTGATGTGGGTAATTTTATACGTTTTTATCATTTCTTCAAAATTTGCTGAGGTAAATTGCTTACCGTTATCGCTGTGTACTATCTCTGGAACTCCAAATACCCGAAACACTTGATTTTCTAGGAAATTTACCACATTTTTGGAAGTAGATTCTTTCATTGCATGCAGAAAAGTGAATTTAGTGAGGTGGTCGACCACTATGAAGATATATGCATTTCCCTTTTTAGATCTTGGGTATTTACCAAGAAAATCTATATATAGTTTCTTATATATATATTGCCTTACTTGGGAGGTCATTTTTGGCCAATAATAAAAAGTCTTAAGTCGGTTTACTGTTTTATGTATACCATCATGGATCGATCCAGTGTAATTATGGGCCTTTTCAATTAGGGCATATGTGATTTCTTCAGGTATCCATAATTTCCATTCGAACTCAGTGGTTTCTGGTTCAAAATGTTTCACCTTTATAAATATTTTCTCTTTGTCCACTTTTAAATCTGGAAGTTGCTCTTGGTTTTCCTCTATCGTATTTCGCAATCCGACATATTCTTCGCTTTCGAATGCGGTGGTTTCAAAGTCGAGAATATCTTCCGCAGTGATTTCTTCTACTGTTGCATCTGATTCTATTGGCATCCTAGAAAGGGTATCTGCTACTACGTTTTCCGAACCTTTGCGGTGTTCGATCGTAAAGTCAAACGCTTGCAGCTGCAGCGACCATCTGGCTAGCCTTCCACTTAAATCCTTAAGTGACATCAACCATTTAAGACTGGCATGGTCCGTAATTATAGTAAATTTCATGAGATCGACGTAGGGTCGGAATCTCTTGACGGCTAAAACCGCGGCCAAACACTCCTTCTCCGTAACAGAATAATTTCTCTGACATGCGTTAAATTTCTGCGAGTAGAAGGCGATTGGGTTTTCACATCCATCATCGTCCTTTTGGAACAATACTGCCCCGATTCCATAATCGGAGGCATCACACTGTATATAAAATTCTCGTTTGAAATCCGGATGTCGGAGTACCGATGCGGATGTTAATGCTCTCTTCTGGGTGTTAAACGCTTTCATGGCCTGAGGAGTGATTGTGAACTTTTGACCTTTTTTTAAAGTATCTGTAAGTGCGGCAGATATGCTAGCGAAGTCCCTTATAAATCGTCTGTACCAACCGGCGGTACCCAGGAAACTTCTGACTTCCCTTGGAGTTTTTGGTGTTGGTATTTTTATAATGGCGCTTACTTTATCAGGATCCGTTTTTAAGCAGCCGTTGCCAATTATAAAGCCAAGATATTTTAATTCTCGAAAACAAAATAAGGATTTCTTTAAACCAATGGTCAAATTGGCCTTCCGGAGACATTCAGCTACCTCACCAAGTAATCGAATATGATTGTCGAAATCATCTGCTATGATTAAGAGGTCATCCAGATAAATAAATACATTAGATTTTAGTCTGCCTGGTATCACTCGATCCATTAATCGATATAGCCTCTGTGCAGCGTTGCATAGACCAAATGGCATTACACGGAACTGGTAGAGCGGTCGACCTGGTACCGTGAACGCGGTGTATGGTTTGGCCTCTTCCTCCAGTTCGATCTGCCAAAATGCATACTTTAGGTCGACGCTACTTATGTAATGTGTTTGGTCTATCCTACTCAATATGCCGTCTATGTTTTGTAGAGGATATGCGTCTTTCACCGTCAACGCATTAAGTTTTCGCGCATCTAGGCAGAATCTATTCTTGCCGGGTTTTCTAACAACTGTAGTTCTGTTGCTCCATGGCGAATCGCTTTCCTCGATCACGTTCAGAGCGAGCATATTATCAATTTCATTGTACACTATTTTCTGCATGGCAGGCGACAAAGGGTAGTGCTTGTCCTTAACCGGATTTGCACCTTCCACTAGTTTAATACTGTGTTTTTCTAATTTAGTGCAGCCCAATCCGTTCTTTTCAAACGTTATGAACTTGTTTACCACGTCTGCAAGTGCCTGTTGTTGGTCTTCACTTAACTGGTGCATATTCGTGTTTTCATTCTTAGCATCTCCGCGAATTTTCTGTTGTATTGCTATATCTATTTCTTCCACTGGGAAGATTTCTGGTGCAATTTTAAACAACTTCCAGAAATCTATGCCTAGATACAGGTCTTGCTCTAAGTCTGGACACAGAAAGAGGGACATTCTTGAAATTTCTTGTTGATACTCAACATCCACTTCGATTATTCCCAATATACGGTGGATTTTCCCGGAGGCAGTACTGACGTTTGAGGTATAGGGTTTGACTTCTATTCCTATGTCTTCTACAATCTCTCTACAACGCTTACCTAATAAACTTACGGTAGCTCCTGAGTCTAACAGACCTTTTATTTCCTTGCCTTGTATTTGGACTAAGACATAAGGTCTCGGATCTTTTCCATATTGGGTTCTTACAATGGCTTCAGATACAGCCTTTTTTATTGCCTTATTTTGCCTGTGTCTTAGTCTAAGTTTTTCGATTCTTAGTTTATTTTTAGTTACTAGCTCATGGTTTGAGTTAGCAGCTGGATTTTTGTTAGTACCCCCAACATACTTTTCATGAAAAATTCTGGCTTTTGTTGCATTATAATTCTGTTCCCTGATCTCTAAGGGGATATAGTGCCGAATTTTGGAAAAACGGGCTGACTCACTA